AAAACCGTATTTTTAGGTCATTAACCCAAAATAAAACAAACAAAATCAGAGAAAGTTCAAACCAGTTTTGTGAGAGAAAATGTGGCAGCAATGGAAGCTTCCCGAACATACCAGCCAACAACCTAACACCACCAACTCTTATAATAACACCCTCTTCAAACCCGCAACTTCCAATCACAACGCTTCCCAACAAACCAGAACAGCTCACTTCTTCTATCTTTTAAATACACCAAACCTGTTCATCAAAACAATAACAAAACCATTTCAGATTTTCAATTTCATTGCAACACACCATGGCCGGCATGTTGAGACTTGCCAAGTCTTGAAGACTACGCAGGAGAAAAATGAAAATTCATCATCCAAGTGCTTGGAGTTATGCATTTCAGGGTTTGTTTTGTCGGTGTTTAATTTGATATCTCAAATAAGAACTCAAGTGCCAAAAACATTACTTGAATGTAAAAACAGTCACGTTGGCTGGGGATAACATCATAATTAAGTTCATAACCCAACGACCTTCACTTAGCGTAAAAAATCCTCCACCAAAAGGTTATTTTTAACCACACCAACCACTTAAAAAAATACCAAATAACTGTACGACTTACGCACTCAAAAACTACTTCTTTTTTGGTTGGTCAGACACCCATAACTATTATTTAAGAAAGTATTATTGCAACTTATATTGTTCAATATAATATCTTTTTCAATATATAGTAGTATATTTAGTAACATTGCGCGATGTTATGTTGAATTTTTTTTTTTTTTTTTTTTTTTTTTTTTTTTTTTTTTATTTTATTTAATCGGAATGGTATAGTCAAAAATAAATATGAATAGACACTTTGTCATTTTGGCTCTTGTAGAGAATAATGAAGTACCTACCTTCATTGAACCCCGGACCAACAGGACGTGGTACCACAAGGGCCGGTAGAATGTCGCTATTTTTATTTTATTTTATGAGTGATATTGGGAGAGAGGGTTTGAACACTGGACATGAGCTATAAGGGTAAAATGTTGTTATCCAAAATAATATGGACTTGTTTGGGAGTGCTTCTGGAAAGGCTTTATGACAACCGAAAACGTTTCTGACAATGTTTGAAAAAAAAAAAAGTGCTCATAGGTCATATAAGCACTTTGTGGAGAAGCACGTACCACGTGCCGAAAAAACTACCAATGTGCTTTTTGGATGTCTATATATATTTTCAACGTTTTTATAATTTTTTTTTTTTTTTTTTTTTTTTTTTTTTATTTTTTTTTTTTTTTTTAATGTTAATAAAAAGTAAAAGTTTGTACTACTTCTAGAGAATGTTTTCTAGAGACCAAACCAACCCAACTTTTAGTTTTAGTTGAATTTTTTTGGAATTCTAAAGATATAATTTCAAGAGTAATCATCAAAAGATTAAAAATATTCTTCTCTTTCCTTTACTGGTTTTTTTGTTGGACTCTTTCCTTCACTTGTATAGATAATTGAAGTTATTAGGGTTTTGTTTTTTGTTTTGGCTTCCAAACATTCATTTCTTTATGTGAAGGATTTTTAACATTTAAACTAAACTATGCATGATGTTGGTATGACATGCAACTAACTACCGAATATATTTGAAATTTCCAGCTCTTACGTTGTACTTGTTATAGACAGGTCACCCAGGCAAGTGGACAGCCCTTCTTTCTCACTATTTATACCTACCAAAGCTTTTAGTTATAATTCGTAAGCAAACCAAGTCTCCACCTTATAGTCAAGTAACTCTCCTTATTAGTTTCTCTGTGCAACAAAAATGGCAAAGGCCCCAGAACAAGAGCATCCTGTTAAAGCATTTGGCTGGGCTGCCAGAGACAGCACATCGGGGCATCTCTCTCCCTTTAACTTCTCCAGAAGGTGAAAACTTGTTTTCAAATCCAGAAACAAAGGGGGCTTTATTTTTCAGATTCTATTTTTTTTTTAGTACAAGCAATAGTTTAAAGTACAGAGAAGGGGGTTTTACACACACACTACCACGGTGCCATGGGAGTTCGAACTTGGGACTATTAGTCTGTAAATCGAGGCCATTTTCAATCATCATTAACAGTATTGAAATTATATATATGCAGGGCAACAGGTGATGAGGACGTGCGGTTTAAGGTGTTGTTCTGTGGCATATGCCACTCTGACCTTCACAGCATCAAGAATGATTGGGGCTTCTCTATATACCCTATAGTTCCTGGGTAAGTATAACATCAAACTTTGATTGTCTTCTCTTCACTTTATTTTTTGGCATAATGGGTAGTTGTGTTTTATAAAAATAAGATCCATGAGTTGATTTTTTTAAAAAAAATTTTAATTTTTTTAATATGAAAAAGTGTGAATTTACCATATTATCCTCATTTAATTAATAATTTCAATTCTTAATGTTTGCATTAATGAATGGCATGTTTTGGTATTTTGAATGTTTTACCATTCTTTGCCTTTTGCTATATATATAGATATTACTATTTATATTTCACATGAATACATTATTAAGTGATTTCTAGTTGTGCCCTAGGACTTCCACCAAATTTTATATTCCACATATGAAATATATTGAATTAATTAATACATAAAAAAATGTAAGCCTAAAACAAAAATTTTGTATTGCATGTTGCTCTAGTATAACGTAGTTTCTAATTTTTGTTTTTTTTTTCTCCTTAAAAAATTATTTTCTTCTTGCTATTTTAATAACGGGGCGGGGATGAGGAATTCTTGGTTTAAATATTAAATGTATGAAGGCAGAAATGGGAATTTTTATTTTAAGGGGATGCGGATAGGAACATTATATGACATATTTGCACTATCTATTTTAGAAAATGGGTCACGCTAGGAAGACCATCTTTAGATACCAACTTGTGTATCATCTCTCTAATAAAGGTGGAGCCCACTAATATACTGGGTCCCACCTCTATTAGAAAGATAGTACATAAGCCTATCTATTAGAGAACAGATTGGTTAAGATTAGCTTCTATGACAGCATGGATTAAAAACATCTAAACTCTTGTGATCTCCAGGATAAGTAAAAACGCAAAACAAAACAAAAAGAAAAGTAATTTAACATGGATGACTGCATGCAGGCACGAGATTGTGGGTGAAGTGACAGAAGTGGGAAGCAAGGTGAAGAAAGTAAAAGTGGGAGAAAAAGTGGGCGTAGGTGTGATGGTTGGTGCTTGCCATTCATGCGAGAACTGCAACAACCACCTTGAAAATTACTGCCCCAAAATGATACTTACCTACAGCGCCATTTACCACGACGGAACAATAACTTATGGAGGCTACTCAGACACAATGGTTGCCAGTGAGCGTTACATTGTACGTTTCCCTGAGAACATGCCACTGGATGCTGGGGCTCCTCTGCTTTGTGCTGGGATCACAGTCTATAGCCCCTTGAAATATTTTGGGTTAGGAGAACCTGGGAAGCATGTTGGCATTGTAGGCCTTGGCGGGCTTGGTCATGTTGGAGTGAAATTTGCCAAGGCGCTTGGGGCAAAGGTGACTGTGATTAGTACCTCCCCTAGCAAGAAAGATGAAGCTTTGAACCATTTGGGTGCTGATGAGTTTTTAGTTAGCCGTGACCAGGATCAAATCCAGGTTAACAATTATTTTTCTAGCCCATTTGTAATATATATGTTTTGGTATTGTTTAGGATCTTTAATTAGTTGTAATTGTTCGGTAGAAATATATTTTGGGTTTCAAGTGCAGGCTGCCATGGGCACATTTGATGGCATCATTGACACAGTTTCTGCTGTGCATCCGATTGTTCCCCTGATTGGCCTTTTGAAGTCACATGGGAAGCTCATTCTGGTGGGTGCACCGGAAAAGCCACTAGAGCTGCCTGTGTTTCCATTAATCACGGGTAAGCATAAAACCCCAGGATATACATGTAATTTGACGTGTAGGATAATGTTTTCTTGTTAAACTACAAATTTGGGCGACATGTTTCGACAAAAATCAACATGATCAATATAAGCACATGATGTTTCCACATAATCTGTAAAGATAATTTTTCTTATTAATGTCTTATTAAAACTATTACAAACATGCGAGTGCAGGAAGGAAGATAGTGGCAGGTAGTGGAATTGGAGGGACTAAGGAAACTCAGGAGATGATTGATTTCGCAGCAAAACACAACATAACAGCAGAAATTGAGCTTATCTCGATGGATTATCTGAATACAGCATTGGATCGTCTCGCGAAAAACGATGTTAGATACCGATTTGTGATTGACATCGGAAACACTTTGGCTGCTACCAAGCCTTGAAGACTTCGTAAGGAGACTATTAAACGGAATGGTATATTACTGAATTAATACGAATAATTAGTTGGGCTAAACGCCTTTATGGAATATTGCCTTCTTTATTTTGTCAGTATTTGATCTGACACATTGTCAACTATCGATTTCCTTGTAAAAAATATATCTCGAATAAAATATTAAACGCTAAATCATTGTAGAATATATATATATATATATATATATATATATCTCTCTTTCTTTTTTCCCAAGCGTACATGTGCCGAAATTCAGCAGCACCAATATAGCCAATCAAGATAAGCTAAGCCGGTTCTGATCATCTCTGGACGAAACGAGCACCAAATCCTGCATATGTAGGCATCCACTATTTGAGGTGCTTTCGGCTGTGATATGGGTGTGATGGAGTCTTTAGTTCAAGTACATTGCACCAGCAGTTAGAGGATGAAGGCTGCTCTCCAACCCCTTTTAGATACTATTATATCTCGTATGCAAATATGTCGAAAGCTTGCCATAAAATGGAGAGTGAAAGAGATAAGAGGGCATGCTGGAGCTAGGATTTTAAAGAAACTAATTACATATAATAAAATCGGAGAAAAATAAAGGGCCAGGAAAATAATGAAATATAGATCTGGTATGAATAGAATAGTCTTTGTTAGTTTCAGGAACACTTATCTCCCCCAGTTTTGAGAGTCGATTGCAATTTCCCACCCGTAATGGGTGTTTCTTTGAGCTCTGTCTCGGTAGTCCAGGGCTTTATGCCCTTTCTTCTATGTTGTTTCTGTTTTCTCCTTCGTCTCCAACCTCTTTTAGCCTGGATTTCACAGAAATCTCCAACCCTTGTAGTTGTTTTTCATCCTCTTTCCCCCCATGGTCCTCATCCCCCAGATCCCCACCACTCTCGCCCATATCACTTGCTTTACTCCTCTCATTCCTCACTTGTTGCAACCTCAATCCAAGCTTGCAGCTTTTCATCCTCAACACGTAGGGATGGATCCAGGAATTTTCCTTGCAAAGTTCAACCTCTAAAAGGGTAAAAACTTTCTATACAAAAATTAACTCATAAAAATGAAAATATAATTTATAATTTCATAATTAATAGAAAAAAATCACATTGCAATTGTCCACAACGAGTTTTCATATTCTGAAAACGTCCCATTATAGTTTCATTATCAATATAAAAAAACACATCTTTCTCAATATAAACAAGTAAGCTATCACTCAACCATTGATATCTCATTTGGTTGCGAAGTGAACCTTTCACAACATTCATAGCAGAAAATGTTCTCTCCACCGAAGCAGTTGCAACTGGTAAAGTTAAGGCTAATGTCAGAAACAAATAGACATAATTAAATGTTCTATGCAACCCTTTCTCCACCATTTTTCTTGCAAGGCCACTGATCCCTTTCAATTGAGAAAATTCACTTCTCGCACGCATATGATGAATATAAATCCCAAGTTGATCTTCAAGTGCCAAGAGGTCTTGGGGAGTAAATTCTTGAGGATAAAATTCAGCAAAACGAAGAAGCTTTTGTTTGTCAAAAGCTATGAATGAATCATTCGGACTCAAACATGCCAAACAAAGAAGCAGCTTAGTATTTACCTCACTAAAGCGATGATTTAACTCCACAAGTTGCCACTCAATGATTTGAATAAAGATGTCCACACGATAATGATGGATTTTTGTTATTCTAGGAGCTTTGCAATGTGATCTCCAATTAGCTACATATGTATCATCCATGTTTGGAACCTCAATATCATGTTTGCCACAAAAGGAAGATACTTGATCAAGCAAGGCTTCAAATCCATTATCTCTCATATTTTGTAGCGCATCCTTGCAATCTTTGATTAAAGACATTGCATTCCCAATATCTTGGTCTTTTCTCTGTAATGCTTGTGACAAATCATTTGTGGCTCCCAATAAAGATCTCATAAAAAATAGGTGAAATATAAACTCAAAAGATTGTATTTCTCTTAGTGACCTATCTGTTTCACCTAGATTATCAGTGGAGTCATCCTCAATAATCAATTGAAGCACTTTCACCACATATTTGAACATAGAATGATACTAAGTAATGTACCATAATGTGAGTTTCAACATGTATCACTGGCATGCTTAAGACAAGTTTCTTGATTTAATCCTCACCTTGTTGAAAGATTATCATTTTCAAGAGCTACTGTAATATCCTTTTGTAGTTGATCTCTAAGCATGTCACATCGCCTACACGATGCTCCAACAATATTAACCAAGCTATTGGAATATGTGAAGAAAGTAGCAACATCGGTGTTTCCCTTTGCCACGGCCACAAGAACTAATTGAAATTGATGTGCAAAACAATGAATATAATAGGCACAAAGATTTTCTCTCAAAATCTTTGTGTTAAGACCAGTAAACTCACCCTTCATATTACTAGCTCCATCATAACGTTGTTCTCTTAGCATGGAAATGCTCCATTCTTCTCTTGAAAACAATGTGTAAATAGCCTCTTTTAGTGAGTTTGATTTAGTATCACTAACATGTTGAATGCTCATAAACCTTTCAATTACATCCCCCTTTTTGTCCACATAATGAAACACCACCGTCATTTGTTCTTTTACTGATATATCACGTGATTCATCAACTAATAAAGAAAAGAAGGCACCATCCATATCCTTAATGATATTCTTAATAGTTTCAGTTGCACAAGGATTCACAAGATCTTTTTGAATTGTTGGAGCTATTAGCTTGAGATTCCCGGGAGCATTTTCCAACACAACGGCCTTCACTTACTCATCATAATCAACAAGAAATTGTAAGAGTTCTACATAATTCCCTTTGTTGTTTAAAGTGTCACTCTCATCACGACCACGAAAATGAAGACCTTGCTTCAACAAAAACCTCACACAATCAAGAGAAGCTGCAAAGCAAATATGATAATCAATGCGAGCTTGGTTTGATTGCTTTATCAAAACAGTTTGGATGTGTTGCTTCTGATTCATAAGATTCAAACAATACTGTCTAGATTGATTATGAACACTCCCAACACTTCCAATATGTTGCCTAATTTTATCTTTCTTCTTCCAATTTCTAAAACCCATCTCTGTGAAGGCATCACTACATCCTTGACCAATTTTGAAATTGGATTTGAAGAGATAACAATAAAGGTAGAATGCAGCATTTTTACTAATATTGTACTCCAATAAGTCAAACTCATCAAACCACTTGACATTAAAGCATCGATCATACCCTGAAAGATCAGTTTGTGGAAATGTGTGATTCTTAGGTTGACTTGGACCCTTTTGTAGATATACTCTTCAAACTTCGTCTTGAATATTAGGATCATAATCCAACAATTAAGGCTGAAGTCCAGGGTCTGCAGGTAGATTAGTCAAGACATCTTGCAACTCACTTTCTTTCGAACTACCCACCACATCTCTCGAAATACCCACATCTCTTAAACTTGAACTACGCACATTATCCGAACTCGAAGTAGTAGATGAAAACTTTCTCTTATAATATCGATCTATAATTGCATATGTATGGGTAGAAATAATCAATATAGCATACAAACTAACAAATATAAATACAATCTATTAAACAAATCCCTAATTTATTCAAACTAACCAAAATAAAATCACAACAACTAAAAACAATAATATATAAGAATCTTCATACATTAACAAACACAAAAACTAATCCAATATACCAAGATATAATCTAACTAAAGCATATACAATCTAATTATTAAAAAGCCTTAATTTATTTAAACTAACTAACCAAAATAAAAACTCAACAAAATAACTAATCAAGAGAATAAAAAACATATAAGAATATTTATTAATGAATTAAAGCATAAAGAGATTAGAAATTAAGAGAACATACTTTCAAATTTGATGGAAAATGACAAATCCATCTTTGAAATCAAATTGAATTTGGGGGTTTTTTTTTTGCTTTGTTGCTGCCAGTTTGAGGGTGTCGCTCTCAATAAACAGAGTTTGCGCCCTTTATTTTATTATTATTATTTTAAACATGAGCTAAAACGACGTCGTTATGGCCAAGTAAAAAAAAAAAAAAAAAAAAAAAAAAAAAATAAGAACGAACGTCGTTTTGACGTCGAGGAGGAAAAAAAAAAAGCGCGCACTGGAGAAGCAGAGACCAAAGTTCTTTGGGGACTTTCATCAAACAGTTTCTAGGGGTCAATTTTCTCCCCTTCAATAGCAGATTTCAGGGGTTGTAGGGGTCACTTGACCACCTCTGTAGATCCGTCCCTGTCAACACGCGTGTTCGCGTCTTAATCGAAAAATTGGTAGAGTTTGGACTCAGGTGCTCGCACCAACACCTTCCATGAATTGGTTCTTGTTGGTTCTGCTGGCTATGGGCTGGCTTCGGCCTTCAGTTTCGTCTTATGTGTGGCTCTTGTTCCCTTGGATGTGAGTTTGGATTCGATGGGTGCGAAGTGTGTGGCAATGGAGTTCGTAACTTTATTTGCTAGCTTATGAATCTCTAATTGACAAATATCATAACTGGGTTTTCCTCAACTAGAACCCTTTGTATAGGTAATCTCTGAAATGTACCTATGCAATAGGTACGTTGCAGGACATGAACATCACATCCCACAAAATATATTAGAAAGAAACAGAGAGCTGATGAAAATGGGGAAGTTAATGTTAATGGTGGTGTTGTTATTGATTTGTGTTGTTGTGATTTTGGGTGATGCCAGTGGCCAAAGTGCAAGCAACGTCAGGGCCTAGTGCTCAGGTGGTTTGGCCAATAGTGGGTCAGGAAATATTGAATGGTGATGTCGGCGGGGGTTTCCGAGGAATACAAATAACCTCTAGGTAGCTACAACCTAGGGAAGATAAATTGGGATTTGAATGCAGCAGGGGTTTATTACTCCACTATATCCAACTTTATTTGCTGGCTTATGAATCTCTAATAGACAAATATCATAACTAGGTTTTCCTCAACTAGAACCTGTTGTATAGGTAATCTCTGAAACTGTACCTGTTGTATAGGTAATCTCTGAAACTGTACCTAGGTGCTGTTTTTGAGGTTACTTGATTTATATTTTAGGGGCAAAATTGGAAGTACAACATAAATTAAAAAAAATTAAGAAAATAAAATATAAACCTCAAATTTTTTTAAAAGGTAAGTAATCCTACATGACACAAAAGTTAAAGGACTTGAATTACTAACAACAAGTGTGTGGATTGCACCCAAATTCTGTCATAAGAATTGGACTTATACCGAATTAATTATTAAAAAAAAATAGAAAAAGTAGTCACCAACTATCAAAATGGGTTAGTATGACTTTGTTCAGTCGCAAGGCAAGTGAGCCAAAAAATTGTTGGGCTGACAACTTTTTCCCGATGTGGTCCCTACCGAGTTTCAAGGGCTGCAACAAGATTTGATCCAACAGAAATCCTGCATGTTGAGTGCAGTTGATATGCGGCTACAGCTAGGCGATCATACTTACAAAGGGTGAGGTGCGTCTAGAAAGGAAAAGTTTTATAAGGGCTTACACCTTAGCTTATTGGAAGCCTGCCCAATGGCCGCCCCTGACTTACGACATTGACTCTAATACTAGTGTGTGTCATGTGATCGGCAATAGTTGGAATCATCAACTTTATCGATCTTAGCGGGTCGCTTACACAGAGGTAGAGTAAGAAATTCCTATGTATGATTCTGAACTCATATCCGTAGATGCCTTATTCAGTCTTAGAGCTAAGAGTTGAGCGCTTAAATCAATTCAAGTCGTTCAGAAGTGTTCAGATCAGGCATCTTCCAGGGTCCTCTAGAACCACCGTACACGGATTTGGCTTTAGCTCGGTTCAGCTCAACTATTTAAAGCCTCAAATTTATACCATTGGGGATGGTTTTTTCAAAGAATTATTGTTTACTAGAGCCCAAAAGTGGTGGAGCCCATTTTAGAGCCCTCATTGAGGATGGCCTTAAGAGCCTTTCCAGCAGTTCAGGCTAGGGGGTGGCCCAAAAATCGATTCTAGCAATGAGGGCTGGCCCGGGCAGGCTACAGGTCCCACGGGACTGGGCTGGCCTGAAGGCAAGGCGAGCTTGAGCTCCAACTCGCGTTTTGGGATGACATTAGTGCTGACATCAGCCTTTGAGTTTGCAACGCACGTGCCAACAGTAAAAAAAATTTGCACGCGCGCCCTACAGTTCGGCCAACGGCTAGCAGTCATACGGTGTCATCTGGGCTCTCCGATCCAACGGCAGCCAATTTTTTTGCAATAAAAATACGAAAAAAATACCTTAAAATTAATGAATTTTTTTTCTATAAATACCAACCAATAAACTTCACTTTTAACACCAAATCCTCATACATTTTCTTCTCCTTCAACTATTATTCACTTTCTACTTAGTATTTTTTTCACTTTCAAGTTTTATTTTTCTTTATGATCTTATGGCTTCTTTTATCTAAACCAGAGGGGCATGAAGCATCATGGAAGATGTTTTGTTGTGTGAGTGTTGGGTCCAAATTTGTCATTGTCCCATCACGGGCAATGAGATGAAATTCTGTCGTATGTGGAGAAAAATTCATACCGAATTTTGTGACAGATCGGGTTCGACCCGTACGGAAATGACATTGTTCAGTAGGTAGAAAATTCTCAATAAAGAGTTGGGGAAATGGAGAGATGCCTTCGCAAAAGTGAGGAACAATTATAGAAGCGGGGAAAATCTTAGCAATGAGGTATAATATTTGTCATTTGTCATTTTATTAATTTTAATGTCCTATTTTTTATTTTTTAAAAATGTTTCTTGCATTTTCAATATTTCGTTAATATTTCTTGCATTTCTAATATTTTTTTAAATGTTTCTTGCATTCCAATATTTTCTTAATATGTCTTGCATTTTCAATATTTTGTTAATATTTCGTGTATTTACAATATTTTGTTAATATTTCTTGCATTTACAATATTTTGTTCATATTTCTTGCATTTCCAATATTTTTTTAAATGTTTGTTGTATTTCCAATATTTTGTTAATATGTCTTGCATTTTCAATATTTTGTTAATATTTCTTGCATTTCCAATATTTGTTAATGTTTCTTGCATTTTTTTTAATTTATATTTTTTTAATAAATAGATTATCCAAGCACAAATGTGGTTTGGTGCTATTGGGCAAGGCAAAAAAATTTCAACCATGACCACTATTGGGAGGTGGTGAAGAATTGTTCGAGATTCCGAATTATTCCAACGGGTCCACCCGTTGTATTGAACTAGACGCCACTCCACGATTCACCGGCATCGGATTCGCCTATGGATTCCCCGATGAGTTAAGACTCACCCATCCAAAATGAGCCGAGGCCTACTGGGAGAAAGGCAACGAAGGTGAAGAGAGAGAGTACTTCTAGCAGTAATACATCTAAATTTTTGGAGGAAATTGCACGGCAAAGTGCCATGAGAATTGAAATAAACATGAAAACCCAAGAAGACAAGAGGGCAATTCAAGTAGAATATGCAAAAGAAAGGGAGTATGTACGCAAAGAAAACATTGAGAAGAAGGATTGGGAAACCATGACCATGGATACAAGCCACACGTCCCTTGAAACAAAACAATTTTGGAAGCTAGAACAAAGGGATGTTATGAGAAGAAGACTTTTCCGTGACGATGAACCTGGCAACACGGATTGGTTAAATGATTAAAACCCTTAAGTTAGTTTGCTTTTTTTTTATTTATTAGTTCATTGTCTTTTATTTAATTGTATTTTAATGTTTTGTTTTAAAAATTAGTTGTAATTCATGTATTTCATTTAATTAGTAGTAATTCTTAATTACCTGTAATGGTTTTCTTTGATTGAATAAAGAAAGCATTCAATAAAATACCTTTTTATTCAAAATATTCCATACATAAAAAACCACAACCAAAGCATTAAAAAAAAACCACAACGAAAGCATAACTAAAAATAAAACACAACCAAAGCAAATAATATTTATAAAAAAAAACATTTTCACTTCACTTCATTCACCGTCATTGCCTTTTACCGCCCATAAATGCTCCATCAAAAGTCAAGTTGACGTCGTTCATGAATATAAGACGATTGCATCTCCATATATCGATCAATCATATGGGTCATGAAACGACCGTCCCTAACCAACGATTCATGCTATAATGGTTCTCCATTTGACCCCATGAGTTTTTCATATATTCTTGTCAAGGCCGTATTCATGGGATCCGGTTTGTACACGTCTGCAACATTGTAATCATACTCATCCTCCATAATCATGTTATGGAGGATGATGCATGTCATCATTATGCCCCTCAGTACCTCCTCATAAAACAGAGGCACCGCACCCCTAATAATAGCCCACTAGGCTTGGAGGATACCAAAACACCTCTCCACATCTTTTTTGTAACCCTTTTGATAGGCAGCAAATAATTTTTGCTTCTGAGATCGGGGATGCGGAATTGATTTCACAAATATGGTCCACCTCGGGTAGATGTCGTCTGCTAGATAATACCCATATATTGTTGATTTCATAAGTGATATTCGGGGCTTCACCTCTCAAAACATTGTTGAATATCGGGAATTGACCCAGCACGTTTAAGTCATTTTGAGATTCGGCAACTCCGAAGAAGGTATGTCAAACCCATGTATCAAATCCAACAACGGCTTCAAGGATGATACTTTTTTGCACTTTCCTATTTCCATAATCTCTTTACCAAGCAGTTGAGCAATTCTTCCATTGCCAGTGCATGCAGTCGATGCTACTAATCATTCCTGGGAATCCTCGAGCTTCGGCTTTTTGTAGAAGCCGTTGGAGGTCCCTGTGTGTAGGTCTGTGCAGGTAGTCCATAATGTACAGAGTTTCAACTACATCACAAAATCTTTCCAAGCTCCCCAAAGTAGTGGACTTCTCCATCCGGACAATCTCATCCACCTGATCAGCAAATGAACCATACGCCAGCATTCGTATAACAGTTTCTGTAAGCTTTTGCTCCGGAAGAAGTCCTAAAACCCCAATAGCATCATACTTTTAAACAAAGTATTCATCATAAATAAAAATATCATGCATGACTTTATTGAAAAAATGGGGTTACAAATATATCGCACTCGAAAATGAATATCAGAGTACAGAGAAGTTGGGATAAAATAATCTTCCAGAAGATTCTTATCATGAGAATGCCTATGTCTGTCCATATTCGGGCCACGGGTGACTTGTGAACCACGGCGGCGGCCTTGGTTTTCTTCATCAAGCAAAGCCACTGCTATGACAACTTGTTGATCTAGTTCTCTCTGCACCCTTTTGCCTTCAGCTCGTCTACGCCTTCTTTCTATAGATTCTCGTTCTTGCCTCTCCAAGACACTGCTCATGTCTGACATTGAGAATGGAGTATGAATTCTAAAATATGATAAATGAAAATATAAAGAAGATCTGGTGTGAGATGTATGAGCTGAGTCTCTGGTTTTATAGAAAAATTTAGGCAGATAGAGATAACACTTGACGCGACTTTAGATGGTGAAAATCTTATATGAAATTTGAAATTTATCTGAATTTTGAATTTTGAAATTTATATGAAATTTATTTGAAATTTGAAACCGAAAATCTTATTAGAAAATTTTATCCAATTATGGAATATGAATTTTATAATAAATATTGATACGTACGATCTCAAAAATCTTATCTGAAAATATTATCCAAATTAATTGTTTAAGTAAAAAAAAAAGAAAAGTATTTACCCTTATTATGGCAAAGGACGAATGGATGAAAGTGCTCTAACACACGTGAATGACTGGCAGACCTACCATGTTATTAATGTGGCAGCCCACCCTTAAAAAAAAACAACCATCATATATAAACAGTATATTCTTGACCCAAAAAAAAAACAGTATATGACACTTCTTTACCATGCCTGGCCCCAACCGCCCAGTAAATAAATAAAGCATTCAAGCTTCACTGACGTAGCAATCTCACATGGGAGCACTTGTGCCTAAGCTTTGGGTTCCAAAATCACAGGATAGCTTGTAGTAGTGACTTCGCCGGTCTCCAGGTCAAAGGTCAACAACAACTTTATATATTAACTATTTTTATCTTTCAAAAAAGTTTGAATTTTCTTTTTATTACATCAGATCTGATGAATCACACAGAAGGGTACAGAAAATCAGTGGAGCCGCCAGCCAAAAGCACGAGTTCAAATTAGAAGCAATGACACTCGGCCAAAATAGAACAAAATTGATCTTCTGTTTCTCGAAGTTCAACTAAATTTGAAGTACTAATCAATCTTCCAATCGTGTAGAAGAGCCACGTGTTTTTCCAAAGGAGTGAATTTCATGAGTCATAAATGGTGGCCTTTTGATTTTCCACATGAGTAAGCAAAACCATTTTTGTAACGTTTTACTTGAGATGCACATGCCATCCACCACTGGCTATATAAACCACAAACTCACTACAGCCCTAGCACTTCTCCAAGTTCATTACCTTCTGGTTAGATATCTTTAGTTGGTATTTGTCCTATCGAAGATATATAACAGAGAAAATGGCGGTCTCTCCAGAACAAGAACACCCCACCAAGGCCTTCGGATGGGCTGCCAGAGATTCATCTGGGGTTCTCTCTCCCTTCAAATTCTCTAGAAGGTTAGTCATTATTTATTCCATCTTCTACATCTTCACGCAATTTTTGTTCAATTTATTTATCGTTTTCTTTTCATCAATCTAGAATTTGTGTGCGTTTCGTTCTTAGGAAATACAATGAAATTCAAGTGAAAAAATAGTGGTTAGATTTTCATTCCAATCTAACCCCACTTTAAGATTCCAATCTAATTTCTATAATATTTATAAATAAATAAAGTTGTTCCGATATAGATCCTTACAACTACCATATTCTAGTCATATATCCACCTACTAAATTACATTATATGCCACCTACCTTCATATTTTATTTATAATTTATTTTCAATCATGTCATTAACTTCCTTAATTATAACCAGCCTCTTCGCACTTGCTTCCAAGCCTGCGAGAGGTTTTTTTTTAAAAAAAAATTTTAATTAAAAAAGATAATGGGCAGTTGTGTTCCATAAAAATATGATCCATTATCTAATTTTTCTTTTTATTTTAAAAAGTGTGAATTTACCATATTATCCTTATTTAATTAATATTTTCAATTCTTAATGTTAGCATTAACCAATAGAATCTTTTGGCATTTTAAATGTTTTACCATTTTCTATATTCTCCTTTATATATATAGATTAATACTCCTTGTTAATAGCATATCAATCACCCCATTTATTTAGGTTGGCATAAAACTTCCCAGTTATAGGGATGCCACAGTCAGTAAACCACGTAAGTGTCCCAAGCCAATAAAATGTCAACAGCTGGCAACTAATTTTACTTTCATATTTAAATATTAAAAAAATGTTCAGCACCCAGTTTCTCTTCTCTCTCTTCCGCATCCCTCTCTCTCATCCATTAATCTCTCTCTCTCTCCACTTTAGTCACTCCTCCATCATCATCCACACACCCCTGCATTCCTATTTTTCTCTTCAATCAGTAATCCTTCATTACGCACACTCGGTATTGATCTCTCAGTTTTAATTTTAGTGAGGTATATTTATTGGAGAAATCTGGAAAATTTGTAAATGGTGGAGTTGAGAAATTTTGGGTTGGCTACGGTTTTGTGGGGGAGCAATATACTTTTGGGGAATCTCTTCCTCTTTTTTTCTTCAAATTTTATTATCTATTGGGCAGTTTTGGAAAATTTGGAATGGAAAAAACAGAGAGAAATCAATATATGATGTGTGGGTGTTGAAGAAGTGATTGAAGAGGAAGCAAAGGGTTTAAGTGCTAGATTAACCCTTGAACCAGATGCGTAGGCTACAATCCCCTGGAGGTGGAGGCGAAGACATCGATATGGCGAGGGATCAAGACGATGGAAGAGGGCCAATTTGGGCTTTATTATTGTTTCAACTTCTGAAAGGATTGGGAGGGGTTTGAACTTTGATCCGTGGGTTTTTCTCATTGGGTGGTTAGAAAGCCATAGGAAGAAGATGAAGAGTACATTAAAAACAAAGTTTTCTTTTCAAATCTCTGTTAAGTATGGGACAGGTGGCGAAATATTAAGAAAGAAATAGGAAGGCATAGGGAAATTGAGCACAGGAAAATTGACTCGAACTTTTTCCCCCTTTACACATCGCCAATGCCTAAACTTTCAAAGAAAAAAAATCCCTAAATTACATATCCAATAAATAATGTAGTATAAAAAAATAAAAAAATGTATATAATATACCTTATTTACAACAAAAAAAGATTCCTTACTTTGTAATTGAAATTTCTGTATTTTTTATTTAAAAATTAGGTAAGGTAAGGTATGTATGTATTATAAAAAAAAAAAAAAAAAAAAAAAAAAAAAAAAGGTAGGTTTTTTTTGGTTAACATACGTACGTTGTGTAATTGAAATATCTGCACATTTTTCATAAATTAAAAATAGGTACATTCTTTATTTTTAAAAATAGTTATGTTATTTATAGGTACACAAAATAGTACATTTACAAAAGATATATAAAACATAGGTACGAAAATAGGTATATAATTTTAAAAAAAGGGGGTGGAAAAAATAGGTACAAATAATATGTCATTAGTTTATGCTACAACGCGATAGGTACATTAAATGTTTCTTCATAAATTCAATAGGCCTAAAACATGAATTTTTTTAGATTCTAAATTTGATTAAAAAAGAGAAAAACTTACCCTAAAAATTTCTAAATTTAAGCCAATTTAAAACACCATTTGAAATTGAATATTATAATGACATTGAATTGTAGCAAATATGTTCAAAGTATATTTAGCACAATCAATGGAGAAAACAACAATTGCAAATACATAAAGGGTATTTTGGGAATAAGAAAATTATAATAAATGAGATCTTGAACTTGATAAGGTAACTTGATGATATAAATTCTAGTCTCTGGGTTTTTACTTATTAAAAATGGGTTTTATTAATAAGAACAAAAAGTAATGAGTTGCAGTTAAGGAAATTTTAAACCAAATTTACTATAAATAAAAAGTGATGTAGAATTAAATGAATATGTAGGACCAACTAAAGTTGCTGCTTCTTCGACATATATAAGCCAATCAGAATGCGAATGCGACCTACTCAATTTATATTGATCTTAATGTGCTATGATTTGGATGCAGGGCAACCGGAAAAAACGACGTGACGTTCAAAGTACTATATTGTGGGATATGTCATACAGACCTAAGCATGCTCAAGAATGAATGGGGTATTTCTATGTATCCTCTACTTCCTGGGTACGTACACCAATCTGCTAATTAATTGGATTATGCGCACAATTAAATTAGTCATATGCACAAATGTGAACTTAATTAAATTGGGCAATCCAGGCACGAGGTTGTTGGTCAGGTGACAGAGGTGGGCAGCAATGTAGAGAAATTCAAAGTTGGAGACAATGTTGGTGTTGGATATCTTGTCGGATCTTGTCAATCTTGTGATAATTGTGGCAACAATGCTGAGAATTACTGCCCCGAAATGATATTCACGAGTGGTGCCAAGTACCATGATGGATCCACAACATATGGAGGTTACTCCAACATCATGGTGGCCGACGAGCACTTCGTAGTTCGTATCCCGGACAACCTGCCACTTGATGGTGCTGCTCCTCTCCTATGTGCTGGGGTTACAACTTATAGTCCCTTGAGATATTATGGACTTGACAAGCCCGGTATGCACGTGGGTGTGGTTGGCGTAGGCGGTCTTGGCCATATGGCCGTAAAGTTTGCAAAGGCTATGGGGGTTAAGGTCACAGTGATCAGCACCTCCCCTAATAAGAAAAAGGAAGCCATTGAAAACCTTGGTGCTGATTCCTTTTTGGTCAGCCGCGACAACGGCCAAATGCAGGTGATTATTTTCTTTGCATAAGGTCCATTAAAATTGACCTCAAAAAAAGTCCATTAAATAGATGACTTTAAGGGTATTGTCATTGTGAGGATGTGAAGAAATGTCCCACCTCAACTTCCTTTAGTCAGTTTGATTTTTGTGAAGTGAATGAGTTATGTTGATTGTGTAGGCTGCTATGGGCACAATGGATGGTATCATTGACACAGTTTCTGCTGTCCACCCTCTCTTGCCTTTGCTTGGTTTATTGAAGACTAATGGGAAGCTTGTTTTGGTTGGAGTACCTGCGAAGCCTCTTGAGTTACCTGTTATTCCTTTGATCAGTGGTAGGATTATGATTCACTAACTTCTAACCTTAACTGGGTTTGGATAGAAAAGAAAATTAGTATAGTCGTTAAATTGAGCGAATACATAAGTACTTTTGAAAGAAATGCCTTTCTTACTAACTGTTGACATTGGTAGCACAATAATTATCTTAATTTTAATCAGCTATGCGTTATTTGGTATAAATTGATGATCAATATCAACAAAAATATTTTGTTTTGTAATTTCAGGAAGGAAGTTAGTGGCTGGTAGTAATATTGGAGGTCTGAAGGAGACACAAGAGATGATTGATTTTGCAGGTAAACACAACATAACAGCTAACATCGAGCTTATCCCAATTGATTATGTGAACACTGCTATGGAGCGTCTCATCAAAGCAGATGTTAGATACCGTTTCGTCATCGACATTGCAAACACATTGAAGTCAAGCTCTTAAATTCTACACCCAAACACACTCATATCATGGAATAATAAGATTAGAAACTAAATTCGATTTAGTTGTATACTATATGGTGAAAATTGTACCTTGTTGTGAGCAAAATGTATTAAGTACATTCTGATTAAGTGAAATTGATAGGTTTTATTCTAAAATTTCAATTTGAGTGAGAGGTTATTGTAACACCCCAACCCAATTTGTCGTTTTTTTCAATTTATTTTCATTTGTGAATTTACAATTTGCTCTCAAGGGTAGGGGCACAATGGTCACTTTTTGTTCGGGAAGGATTTTGGGGAATTTAGTGGCACCATTGCATAGAGCTCGACAATACTAGTTCGTAGACACGTGGTGGGCCCAAATCGGAGTTGTAACGTATGAGAAAAGGTCTAAAAACAAAAATACAAATTTATAAATAAACCCAATTCTAAATATGTATTTATAAAAAAACCCAAACACTATTTAAACATAGAAACACACCCAAAATTAACCCCAAAGTCAACAATTGTATATTTTTTGGGTGTGTTTATAAATGGGTTTTGAGTGTGTGTAATGATGGGTTTTGGGTGTGTTTATAAAGTGTTTTAGGTGTTGGGTTTTTTTATAATTTCAGCTCTCATTTTTGGTGTTTTAGTGAAACTCCCAAACAAAAAGGACGTAATGAGAAATTTCAAATTTGTTACTGTAGCAAACAGTATTGCTACAGTACCGGCCTCTCCAATTTATCTTCTTCTCTTCCTGACACTCCCTCCTCCTCTATAGATTTGAAACAGTCACTATAGCAAATAGTGACTTGTTCGACTTTCCGGCCACCAATCGACTCCTTTTTTTTAAGTTAAAATTTAGCTAAAAACTCACAAAATTTAAACTCTAATACTCTCTAGTTGAAGGAGTCATAAATACTATAAATATTTTTTAATTTAAAATAAATGGTCCATATCTAAAAAATAATAATAATTGCCATTAATTAAAACATTAAATATTCATAAAACAAAGTGGCATTAAATTATAGGTAGCCAATAAGAGTGCTTTCTCTCTCCTCAGATTTAAGAGCTCTTAGAGGTCTCCCCAATTTTAAAAGGTGGTTAGAGAGTATGATTAGAGTTGTATTCCTCTCTAAAATTTGTCTAAGTAGATGCTCTGACAAATTACTAAGATTTTCTCGTGAAAAAACCTTTTTTTTGTGGGGGTGGGGTTTAGAAGTACACCAATTGGAATGTAAACCTTGAAATGTGAAACAATGGACAGTCACTAATCCCAAATCTAAGTTGCAATTCTGTATTTCTTGTTTTTGTTCCCACAAGCAATACCTAGAACAATCTGTATAAAATCAAATTTAAACATCTTGATAACAAAGCAATGGAAAGTTCTTAATAATATCACTGATTTTCTAAATATTGAAAGGTGAGGAAATACAGATTGAAACTTTGGGAATTTGAGTTAAAGAATCTGCTTACCTAGGAAAGAATAGAGAGAAACCCTTATTTGATTGAGCTAGACATGGGCTAATTCATCCCAACCCAAATCAGGGAAAGTGAGTCGCCATGACACAGAAAGAATTCAAAGAGTTTCTTCTCGTCAATTCCAAATGGCGAATGAGAAATCAAAAGAGAAAACAAGGGGCTTTTTGCTACTTTTGAATCAAAGCTTCTGAGCTATATGATATTCGAATAAAAATTTAGTTTGCAAGCGGTTGAGAGGCCCAGATACGAACTCGCTTGGTGGTTTTCTCTTCAGGAAGAAGAAGAACAAAAAGTTAGCAAAAACCTTTTGAAAACCTCACATCAAAAGTGACAACTGCCTAATGAGGAATCAATAGGCATTTATACCCAAAAATTCCTAGGTCAGAATAGTACACATGGTAGTTGAGAAAATTTGTAGAATATGACAAAAATGTTTGTTAGGATCTAGCTGGAAACTAGTGAATTGGAAATCCTATTGATGCAAAAGATGACTAGTCATAATCTTAAGAATTCTAATGGATGAAATGCACAAATTACCTTTATCAATTTGATTGATCCTCCATAAGATAGCAGCCAGATAAGAACACTTAGAGCAACTATTCTTAATCTAAACTTGAGCTTGGGTAATTACAATGTATGTCATATTACAATATTGTTAAGGGAACCCAAAAGAAAAACTTAAAAATCATAAACTTAATAGGTTCAGATGCAACTCAACTGGGTCTTCATGAGAATGATAGCTAGCTCCTCTAGCTCTTCATCTCCATGGTACCCTTGATCTTTGTACAAATCCTCATTTAAATCATAGTAGCTCAACAAGACTAGTCTTCACAAAGATGGCAGCTCCTCCTTGAGCTCATCAACTCCATGGTACCAGCAGCTCTCCAAGAGATCAACTTCAGTGTGTAGAAACTAACCAATTTCTTCATACAATACAATCATGAAAAAAATCAATCATAAATGATGTGCAAAGTTACGGTCAGATTTTCTCAAAATAGAAGCAGCTTTCAAAATTCTTAAAAACCCATTTCTATACCACTCTCACAAGAAAAGGCAAAGCCACGAAAAAAATTGTTGTCAACAATCCAAAATAAAAGTGTTGATTGTTTTCTACCTCAGCCACCCTTTTGATAAATTTGGGCATATCAAAACAAAAACACATGGCAGCTCATGATAAGAGCAACAATAGGACAAGTGGTTAGATAAAGACCTACATCTGGCAACAAAGGCAAGCTCACGTGAAAAATAAAATGATTTGACCACAACATGTGATAAAAAAAACATATCAAGGATGACCAGTCATATGCCCTAGTCATCCAAAAAGAAAACATTTTGTGGCGACAAAACTATAAGGCTTTAATCCAACTCTAAATTTGAGGAGGCTTGACTAGTCGACCAAACTAATCAACCATGTACCCAAAAAAACTGAATATTCAAAAACATGATGCTATGAAAAATTTATGAGTTGATCGTAAATTGCTGCTTAGGCGATGTTGAAATCTGTCCTCAATGAATGAACCTCTTATCCTAAACTACGTAATTGATATTATAGAAGATCTTTCGGAATTACAAACAATATTACAAATGTTGCATGGGAAGCCAAAACTTAACTAATCTAGAACCTAATAATCTCCCCCTTCGGCTTTCTTTGACAAAACCCATTTGTCTCACATACACAACTCACTACGTACCCAAATCTAGAGCTAAAGTTGTCCACTGAAGAAACGTAACAATTCTGCAAAAACACACAACTCCCAAGGCCAAGAGCAAGTGAAAAATATTAAGAGTAAGTGTGTCTCCCCCTTTTGTCTTGGAAATACAAACTAAAAGGCAACAAATTGAACCAAGAGAGGAAGCATGAATAAAAAAAAACCCGTAAAGAATCAAGGCAAGAAAACATGGATTCCAGGTATATAAATTGGCAACACTAGAAGAAAGCACAGTAAGTAACCAAAAGGTCCGCAACAAACACAATCACTTACAAAAGATACACTTCTCCTAAATAGAATCTACATAAAGAAACAAATAAACTCCCCTTAAATAGCAATTTCCTTAATACCAAGAAAAATCAACTCCCCCTAAATTGCATGGTTCAACAAGGAGAATTCCAAAACCAAGTCTTTGGATTCGAACTCCCCCTGACTTCAAAATCTAACTAAGTTTCATTAGGAGAATAAGGAACAGTCGATCAAGACAAAGCTTAAGAAGGCAACAATGAAGTATGAAAATGTTAATGCAATTTTGTCCAATAAAAACAACTAGCAATCAATGATTAAAATACTATTAAATAAAGTAGCATTAAATTATAGGGAGTCACGTCTTGAGGTCTTCCTATTTTAAGAGGTGGATATGGAGCATTATTGGAGTTGTGTTTTTCCAATTCATCCCTAAAATTTTTTTTTAAGGAGATGGTCCCCATCGCCCAGTAAATAAATAAAGCATTCAAGCTTCACTGACGTGGATGATAAGTATTGCATAGCAATCCCACATGGGGGCACTTCTGCCTAAGCTTGGGTTCCTGGTATCCTATCTGAAAATGGCCACTTGAAACAATGACACTTCGGCCAAAATAGAACAAAATTGATCTTCTGCTTCTCGAAGTTCAAATAAATTTGGAATACTAATCAAACTTCCAATCGTATGGAAGAGCCACGTCTTTTTCTAAACGAGTGAATTTCATGAATCGAAACGTGCAATACAGGAGAGATAGTGACAGTCACGCCGTGGCTTTTTGATTAGCCAAACTTAGTCAAACTTTCCACATGAGTAAGCAAAACCATTTTTGTAACCCTTTAACCCATGCACTCCACCACTCGCTATATATAGCACAAACTCACTACAACTCTAGCACTTCTCAAAGTTAATTACCTTCTGGTTACTTGGTATTTGTACTATCAAAAATATATATAAGAGAGAAGATGGCGGTCTGCCCAGAACAAGAACACCCCACCAAGGCCTTCGGATGGGCCGCCAGAGATTCATCTGGTGTTCTCTCTCCCTTCAAATTCTCTAGAAGGTTGGTCATTATTTATTCCATCTTCTAGATATTTCCATGCAATTTTTGTTTAATTTATTTATCGTTTTCTTCTCATCAATCTAGAATTTGTGTGCATTTGCTTCTTAGGAAATTCGATGAAATTCAAGTGAAAAAATTGGTAGTTAGATTTTCATCCAATCTAACCCAACTTTAAGGGGAAAACAAATTATCCTATCTAAAGATCACAATCTAATTTCTATAATATTTATAATAAATAAAAAGTGATGTAGAATTAAATTGATATGTAGGACGAACTAAAGTTGCTGCTTCTTCAACATATATAAGCCAATCAGAATGTGCTATGACTTGGATGCAGGGCAACAGGAAAAAACGACGTGACGTTCAAAGTATTATATTGTGGGATATGTCATACAGACCTTAGCATGCTCAAGAATGAATGGGGTGTTTCTATGTATCCTCTACTTCCTGGGTACGTACACATACCAATCTGCCTAATTGGATTATGCTCACATTTAAATTCGTCATATGCATAAATGTGAACTTAATTAAATCGGGCAATCCAGGCACGAGATTGTTGGTCTAGTGACAGAGGTGGGCAGCAACGTAGAGAAATTCAAAGTTGGAGACAGTGTTGGTGTTGGATATCTTGTCGGATCTTGCCAATCTTGTGATAGTTGTAGCAACAATGCTGAGAATTACTGCCCCGAAATGATACTCACAGGCGGTGCTAAGTACTATGATGGATCCACAACATATGGAGGTTACTCCGACATCATGGTGGCCGACGAGCACTTCGTAGTTCGTATCCCGGACAACCTGCCACTTGATGGTGCTGCTCCTCTCCTATGTGCTGGGGTTACAACTTACAGCCCCTTGAGATATTTCGGACTTGACAAGCCCGGTATGCATGTGGGTGTGGTTGGCGTAGGCGGTCTAGGCCATGTGGCCGTAAAGTTTGCAAAGGCTATGGGGGTTAAGGTCACAGTGATCAGCACCTCCCCTAATAAGAAGAAGGAAGCCATTGAAAACCTTGGTGCTGATTCCTTTTTGGTCAGCCGCGACAACGGCCAAATGCAGGTGATTATTTTCTTTGCACAAGGTCCATTAAAAAAAAAAAAAAAAAAAAAAAATCCATTACGACTAATTAAGGGAGGGACTTTAATGATCAATGTGATGGATGTGAAGAAAATGTCCCACCTCAACTTCCTTTAGTCAGTTTGACTTTTGTGAAATGAATGAGTTATGTTGATTGTGTAGGCTGCTACGGGCACCATGGATGGTATCATTGACACAGTTTCTGCTGCCCACCCCCTGTTGCCTTTGCTTGGTTTATTGAAGACTAATGGGAAGCTTGTTTTGGTTGGAGTACCAGCGAAGCCTCTTGAGCTACCTGTTTTTCCTTTGATTAGTGGTAGGAATATGATTCACTAACTTCTAACCTTAACTGGGTTTGGATAGAAAAGATAATTAGTATTGTCAACAAAAATTATCTTAATTTATTTCTGATTCTTTTTAATCAGCTGTGCGTTATTTGGTATTAATAGATGATCAATATCAACAAAAATATTTTGTTTTGTAATTTCAGGAAGGAAGATAGTGGCTGGTAGTACTGTTGGAGGTCTGAAGGAGACACAAGAGATGATTGATTTTGCAGGTAAACACAACATAACAGCTAACGTCGAGGTTATCCCAATTGATTATGTGAACACTGCCATGGAGCGTCTCATCAAAGCAGATGTTAGATACCGTTTCGTCATCGACATTGCAAACACATTGAAGTCAAGCTCTTAAATTTTGCACCCAAACATACTCATATCATGGATTAATTAGATTAGAAACTAAATTCGATTTAGTTGTATACTATGTGGTGAAAATTTTACCTTGTTTATGAGCACAATGTATTAAGCTACATTCTGATTAAGTGAAATTGATATGTTTTATTCTAAAATTTTAATTTGTGTGTGAGGTTATGGTCTTTTTCTTATTTATAATCTTTCTATGCATGAAGTTAGGGTGTTTCAACGGAAAAATTAGGTTTCATTCAATGTCTCTTTCTTTTAATTCGTTTCAAAATCGAAGCTCTGAGATCTAGTCCACCTCGCACACCATTGTTGAAAGGACTCGACCCAAATTCCACTTTGGAATCAGTGTCGAATCCCGCGCGTGTCCAACACCTAGCAGGTGTCGGGCACGAATGACCAAAATACCTTTCTTGCCCTAATCCAAAAACTACTTTAGGGTTTGACTTCTACTGGAAAACTTGCAGAGTCTTCCCTAAAAAAGGCTCAAAACCCACAAATCTACATGCACAGCAAACTCAATTATTCCCAAGCATTCAGCAAATTCAACTTATAAAACTGAACATAACAAACAAATCATAAACCTACGGCTACACCTTGGTTAGCCTAAGTTGCCTACGTACCCTTACTGAGGGATCAAGCCACACGTAGTTCTTTCTACCATGAATCACAATTAAGATAGTACATATAATAATCAAAATCAAACCAAGAATGAAATCCTAGAATCATTCTTTACCTTGATTTCAACAAGTTATATAATTGAATATCATGCCATGAAATTATGTACTTAATTGTTTAATTAGTATATCATCGTACATCCAAATACTTACATAACCAAACCTTTTACCAGAAGGTCAAACATGCAATCATCAGCATTATACATATATCCTGTAATCACCCACCAAGGGTATATGGGAACGCTATCAAATCCGAAGGCAACAAGGGAAGGAGAAACTAGCTAACCACCTGTGTAGACAAGTCGGGCAGGTGACTAGGGATCCTGGCCAACCCTGTGTAGATAATGTGAGTAGGGTGGTCAAGAATATCATGATAACTGTACCACAGGGTGGTACTGCACTATTCTCCACATATAGATGTACCTAAAACATAATCCATATCAATTCCAATAATATACCTAGCACAAGTTATTAAGATAGAAAGAAAAAAAAAGGATAAAAGAAGAAGAAGCAATCCTGCAAGACAAAAGGAAGAAAAGGCAATACATCAAAGAAGTTCTACCTGTAATTTCGTCATGTCCTGCCCAAGAATTAATTCAAACCTGCAATTGGAGATGTACAAAAACATTAAACAGAAGTTCATTCAAGGCCATATACACTAATTAAAGAGAAGGTGTTGGTCTTTTTTTCTGTCCATCATTCCTTTTCGCCAACCTAATGAGGTCAGCTCTGCTTTGAGGAACAGAGAGTATATTAGATCAACACCAATGCCCCGATCGGATGTCTCTTGGCTCGCAGAGAGAACTCCTTCAATTTTCGAACAAAATTGAAAGTTTAATTAGTTTGCCAAAAGCGAACGGGCCTGGTCAAGGCCCTATCTATAAACTTTTCTCAGCACTGATCTGTGGTGTTGCGTAGGCGTGCCACTATTGGGTATGTAACCAGCCCAATAGGCCTGGTATGGTGCTTATGAATGATTTGTTTTGAATGGAACTTGCGTGCCTTTTTCTGGACTTCTTATCAAGCCATTGTGCTCCAGGGGGGGTACTGGCCAAGATTGATTCTTTTTTATGCCTCAATTAAGAGGACTTCAATATTCTTTCCTTTGTGAATATCGACCTGACAAGTATGAGCAGTACTTGAACAAGTAAGAGAGAAAGACCAAGTTTGTGGTTAGTAAGACCCTATCTAGGTTTTATCAACCCGTTTCAATATTTTTATCTTCCTCGGGCTGGACTAATAGTTAATTTGGGCCCAGTGGTGTAATTTGAGCCCAACTCAACTTCCTATCCCTTTTGTCCTTTACTGTTTCATTCGAGTCCCTATTCCCTTTTGGGTCCAAACGCTAATTCTTCCGAACTTTTTAAAGGAAAAAGGCGGGACTCCAATTTTATGTATTAGAATAGTCCATGATTCATTTTTAGATAATTAAGTGAACTTTATTTATGTAGAGTTTTCTGCAACTTATTTTGAGCGTAAGCTAAATAACAGAAAGTTCTTCAATTAATCCATCAATTATCTTTGAATCTGAATTACAGAGTGAAGAAAGAGATACCGGAGATTTCTCAATCCAGCCAAATGATTGCATGAATTAAAACAGATTACTTCTTAAAAGAAAATCATATCATGGATATGGCAGAGCTACGAGAGACAAGCGCAGGAGTTGTCAACTGGTTATCTAGAGAGAAAGTAGACAGATTGTTATAAAAATTTTTTTTTTTTTCATAAAAAAATAAATAAATTATTATTTTTTTTTTTTTTTTTTTTTTTTTTTTTTTTTTTTTTTGACACACCATTGTGTGTAGAGTTTTGTGTTTTGTTTTCGGGGGAGGATGGGCGGGGGAGTCCTGAAGTCTTTCCCCCCCCCCCCTTTCTAAATTAGACTTTTTTTTATTTATAGAGCGAAATGAGCCCGTAATGATGGAAACTGCGACACAAACTTTTGGCTTGTGGTTCAAGGTCAACTGTTGGTTTGTTGATCTTAACCGGTTCATAGAGGGAATGATGGAGGACTTCTAGCAAGAACCATCAGTTTTCTTTGTGGTGCTTTCTTGATTTGACTTCTTTGTACTTGAAAACTTGGTTGGTAATTTTGATCTTTTTATAGTTTTGAAGGCTTCAGTACGACTTGTTTTCTTGCTGGGAGAGAAGGAGGTCAAGTTGTCATTAAATGTGATAATCCCCTTCGGCCTCCCACGTGGGCCTAGAAAACACGCTTACCAATTTTTAACCTGCAATGCGAGATAAAGGTCTGATTTTCACGATTTGGGCCTTCTTATTGATTCATTCAAAGAGGCCCGTTGGAAAAAGGATGACCATCTAAGAAAAGACAAATGCTTATGGGCTTGGCTTTATCTTTAAAATATTCTTTTAAACTTTTAGACCATTTTTGGTCCATTTATCAAAACTGGGTACAAACAGAAGGAAAACAAAAGGAAAACAAAAAAATAGAACTTGCGAAATGGAGCAGCCAAGCCAAGTCAAAATGGGTGGGCAGCAGGAGAGAACGACGTATAAGGTTTTTTCAAATGATATGAAGTAACATGATTAGACAAGTAGAAATTATGGATGGTCTTTTGTTCTTGGGAAGTGGAGAAAAATGGCCACGTGAAACAATTAACACTAGCGCCAAAATATAACAAATTTTATTTTCTACTTCTAACGAAAAAAGGTGGTTGAGATCCCGCTGAAGTTCCAATAAGTTTCGGGACACCGACAAAATAGTAATAGTCTCTCTTCCTCCATTCCTGTATGTACGCCAACAGAAGCCGCAATTGAACCAAACGAGTGAACATCATTGATGGAAACGTGCTACAAGGGAGAAAAAAGTAAATTTAAGTTTTAGCCAAAAATAAATTTTACTTTTGAAAAAAACTAAAGTTTTTTTAAAAAAGACAGAAAAACCTCTCAACTTTCAAATCAAAGACATGCAAATGTAAAGGATTCCTTAGGAAATTCAAAAATAAATAAGGGCAATTTTGTCAATTTTGGCTTCTTTTACAAAATTTCTCTCTCCTTTGTGTTTTTCCAAAGCATCTCGGAGAAAAAAGGGTCATATCTCATATGTGGTTGAAAAAATGACTTCCAATTTCCCTACAATCTGCACCGTCCTAGCTAGCCAAAACATTAAAAGCCCTCCACCAAACATTAACTATTAACTATATATACAGCACAAACTCACTACATGTCTAGCAACTCTCGTATTGATTTGTTAATTGGGGCACCAGAGAAGCCTCTTGAGCTACCTGTTTTTTCCTTTGCTCATGGGTAAGCATATGAGCAAACAAGAATACTGACAAAATAATGGTGGATAATGTATTTGTTCAATAGCCACACCAAACAAGAATACTGACAAAATAATGGTGGATACATTGTCTCTATTATTAAGTGAAGACAATTTATTGTCTCAAAAATCAACGAAAGGGGACAAATAAAAATCAGTAGCTAGTGTGAGTTTTTTTAGTAGTGGCTTTTTGTAATTAACTACGAGAAGTTGACTTTACATGTTGACATTGGATTTGGAAGCACAATATTTATCTTAAATAATTTTTTATTCTTTCAAACACATTGAAGGAAACCCAAGTGATGATTGATTTTGCAGGTAAATACAACATAACAGCAAACAACAAGGTTATCCCAGTTGATTATGTGAACACAGCTATGGAGCGTCTCATCAAAACAGATGTTAAATACCGTTTTGTCATCTACATTGCAAACACATTGAAGTCAAGCTCTTAAATTTTACATCCCAAAGTTACTCATCTTGGCAAAATAAAATTATATATATTAAATTCGATTTAGTTGTTTCAGCGATGTTGTCTACTGTATGGTGAAAATATATATTATACATTTTCATGAGCACAATGTAATATGTTAGATTTTGATTACGTGAAATTGATATTTTTTATTCTGATATTTTTAATTCTTATATGAGGTTTTGGTCTTTTCTTATATGTAATTTTTTGTACGCATGGAATTAGGGTTGGTAATTTTTGACCCAATTTGAAAAATCTGTCTCATTTGATTAGGTTTTTGTTTTTAGTTGTTTTAAAATCAGATAAGCAATCCAAACTCATCGTCTAAACTAGTTTAGTGCTCTGTACTGAAATCCAAAACAAGTGTTTTATTAAACCGAACCGCTCTATATGTTATTTTGATTTTTATTATTTTACACTCTTACCTTTTTCGTTTGTTTATACCTCATTAGTTTGGCTTATCTCTTACCAGACACCTCCTTATAACATGTTAGGGCATGTTTTCTAACAACGAAAAATGCTTTTAAAAGCGTTTAGTAAAGAAGCGCCTTCTAGTCCGAAACCCCATAAATATCAATTAAATACAAGCTGAACAATTGAAGGAGGGGGATCATTAGAAGCATATATTGTCAAGATCCATAAGACACTCAATTTAGCTAACCCACCAGCCACCATATTCTTCTCCCTATAAAATGTGGCTCAACTCACGCCGCTCAAAATTGTGAAATCAAGAGGTTGTTGGAGTTTCATTTTCCATTTGTGTCATTTGTTCCACGTGGAAAACTAAAGGATTGTCAAAGACTTTGCAAGTGTTTGCTCCCCAGGCTTAGAAAACTTAGGCCCCATTTTCAGCCCTAAAAACAAGCCCGAAAGCTCAGCTTCGAAAGTAAAACTAAAACCGGACACCTCCCACACTCAAAAGAAGCCCCGTTGCTCCATTCACCGGATTTATAGTCCGCCCCACCGTCTAAAGAAACAACTGAAGTAAAGATATTTATAAATAAAATAAAATCAGCATAAGCAATCTTTTTATTTTCATATGACCAGATTTTGTCTGTGTCTTTTTTCTATTTTTATTTTTCTATTTGTTTCTGGCTGTGCTTAACTTGTACTTACTCATGGGACGCTTGCATGCAACAATTCAATATATTCTTTTTTATTATTTTATATTAAAGTAAATTAATAATTTAATAACAACAAGGTGTGGTGTGGTTGGTAAACTGTCACCTCCAGTTGGCGAGCTATCTAATGCCTCAATAACAGGGGTTCGAAACCCGTTTAAAGCACTTTGTGCACAAACGCAAGCCGAACTCCAGACAGGAATTAATCCCACCCTTGTGGGGTGGGAACACCTCGTGGTATTTACAAAAAAAATAAAATAAAATAATAGTAACTTAATAAATAATTAAATAATAAGATGTACTTAATTAATTTTAAAATTAGTTTAAGAGCACTCATTATTATATGTCGGCCATTTGCTATAAATATTGCAGTTGAAAATTTATTTCATACGGGATCAAATCTGTTTCCTAATAGGTAATCAATATTTAAACTTCCAGAACCGAAGTCATAAATTTGTCGGCATCAAATTTCACAAACAACGACCATATTTTGACATTCACACCCAAATTCAAAGTCATGGCAACCCACGTTAACCAACGCACATATATGTATGTGACAAATGCTTTTGATATTATTTCTCCACTCCAAAACAAAAATCACTTTCTCCAACCGCCCATTTCTTGGAGGCTCTTTCAAAATAAGCTTTCCACAACTGTATGATTTTCAATTTCTTGTGGTATCAAATAACATACACATCATGCATAATGTATATTCACATTTTAGCCAACCACTATGCATAATGTAACTAATGTCTGGCTGGCTGCATCAATACTGACCATAGATTAATTTGTTATGCTTTATATTCTTACACTAAATATCTACCAAAATTCTTCCGAGATCATCTAAGATGTTTCCATGGAGGATTGCTTGTAAAATTTGTTTTGCTAATGTTACATCGCCTCTTTAAAAATTAAATTTAAAAAAAATAATGCCTTACCGAAAAAAAGTATCATCACCTGAGCAATGAGCCTTTGCATTTATTTACGCATTTTTTTTCTTCTTCTGCATTTTGCTTCATTTGAACCCTTACAATAATATGACGACTTAAAAAATATCACATCAAAATTAACATAAATTGTAGTTTTTATTTTTTTCTAAACTAACGTTACCCATTTATCTCTCTATCTCTCTGTATCTCTCTCCCCTTGCTCTCCTCCCTCTCTTCGGCTCTCCCAATTCCCACTTTTCCCAGGAATCTCTACTACTGAACACTAGTTCAAAACCCAAATCAAAATCCCAAAATATCAAACTATATACATGAATGCTTTTTTTTTCACTTGGAATTTGATTCAACCATTTCATAATTGAATTTGCTGACGATAGCAAGAATCCAGTAATTAAGTTTCTGAAATTTCATTGAAATTTTTTTTACTTGGAATTTGATTTAGATATAATTTTATTTGAATTTTGAACACTTGAGGGGATGTGGGAATTGGGATTTGGGAGACACAAGAGACAAAGAAAAGAGGAGAGGTTTAGGAGCTAGGGGTCTCATGGCTTGGGTTATTGTATTTTGGTTGTTTTTACCTTTTCTGTGCTAAGCTATGTTGTTCCTAGACCTGTCTTTGGGTTCTAGTTGGTTTTCTGGTCACTTTTGTAGTTATGAGGTTATGTACCTGGAATGGATCAAAATCATGGAACCCTAATTTCAATCCAAAAAATTTGGAGCAAAAATTCCTTCCTAATTCTATTCCAAAATATTTCGGAATTTCAACATCCATTCCAATTCGAAAAACTCGGAATTTTCAGAAAATTTCAGAACTTACATATTTTGGAATATTTTTGGAAAAATTTCGGAAAATAGTTGAACATTTTAAACATGTCCAATGATTTAAAAGGTTAAAATTGGCTTAAAATTGAAAAATCATACGAAAAGCTTGAAAAAGTATTATATGTTAGGGCCAACGACGAAAGACACCCTGCAGGTTTGGGGTGGTTCTCAATATAGACCACAGGGTATCAATTTTATCAATTTACACCCTTATGTTTGCAACATTGTCCAATTTCATCCTTCCGTTAAGTTGACCGTGTGGTCAATCGTTAAGTGCTGACGTGTCTACTATGGGACCTACCTACTAAGTAGCTAGTTCCTTAAAAAAAACATCGTCTTCCTTCCCCAGGCCAACAAACCCAACGCCCATGTTCACCCCCTCTTGCCCAGCACCCTCCTCCATTTTCGAGCTCGACGGTTTGCAAAGTTGCTAGTTTGAAGTGACGGCTTTGGGACCCTGGTTCTTTTGCGAGCCAGATTGGGACTGGTTCTTACTGGAATTGGGTTTTGGTGTTCCGTCGCTGAGCCGACGCCCAAGAGAGAGGGATGGGGGCTGGGGGTTAGTGCATTCAGATCTACCAATAATGGTAATAAACGTAGATGGAGAAGCAAGAAAACATTTCTTGCATTCAGATTCAGGAACTGGTGTCGCTGCTTGCATTGAATTTTGAAAACCAGCCAAACCCTCTTCAAGTATCACAGAGTCTTCCATTTCATCATGATATGAGGTTGACAAGGTAGTTACCAAACACAAACACAAAACTAATCTATCCAATCCAGAAGAGATTTGAATTTGAAAAATTTGCATCAGCCCAGTATCATACTTGTTCAATTGATCACACCTACAAAATGAAAAGGAGATCACAAGTTTCAGACCATGAGCCGACGCAAATTTATTCGTCATCTTCCCAGCCCTTCCCCACCAGAGCAGCCTCTCTCTCTTCGTCCCGCTCTCTATCTCCTTCCCACTCTCCTCCCAGCTCCTCATCCTTATCAATATATACAAATTGTGCTTGGAGGGAGGTTTGGAGGGAGAGCCCAAATTAGAAAAGTTGTGCTTGAAGGCTCGTTTTCTCGTAGAACGATTAGCACCCTCGAGGAGCACAGAGCCCAATTGGAGAAAGGGACAGAGTGCGGTTGTGCGTCTGGGTTTTTTATTTTATTTTTTATATATACTAGCCTCTCCGTACGCGCTTCTGCACCTGTGAGAGGCTTTTTTTTTTAAAGAAAATTTTAAATTTATTTTAGAATTAAAAAAGATAATGGGTAGTTGTATTCCATAAAAATAGGATCCATTATCTTATTTTTATTTTTATTTTATTTTTTTAACATGAAAAAGTGTGAATTTACCATATTATCCTCATTTAATTAATAATTTCAATTCTTAGTGTTTGAATTAACCAAGGGAATTTTATGGTATTTTGAATGTTTCACCATTCTTTGCCTTTTGCTTTATATATATAGATTAGTTTTTGTTTAATTATATGTTATTTTATTATTTTATCTAATAAAATTTTTTAGAATTAATTAGTAGGTGGGTCCCACAGTAGACACGTCAACATTTAACGATTGACCATACGGTCAACTTAACAGAAGGATGAAATTGGACGATGTTGCAAACGTAAGGGTGTAAATTGATAAAATTGATTCGGAAGTTTTCGGAATCTTGTGATACATTCCAAAAAAATTTATTTAGAAATTTTTCAGAATTTTAGAACTTTCAGAGATCGGAATTGATATGGACTCGCCAAAATCGGAAATTTTCGATTCAAAATTTATAATCCAACTTGCAACCCTACTTTCTATAAGAGATTGCTATTTGACACCAAAAAAAAAGAGGAGAGGGAGAAGAGCGATGATGGAAGGAAACGACAACGTAACATCACTATAGAATCATTAAAAAAATAAAAACTAAATTGTATTATGTTGCTAACATTTCATGTATGAAACCCATACGTTGGATCATTAGAACGGCCTAGATGAAGCGAAATACGGAAAATGCGTGGACTCTAAATGCAAAGGGTCAGGATCCTAATGATATATGTGTCAATGTGTCTCTTTGGTATCCTCTCACTTTATATATATATATATATATATATATATTCATATATTGAATTGTATTCATAATTAGGGGTGACAATTTCCTACCCGACCCGTTACACGACTCGAAACCCGCACGGAAAAAACACGACTCGAACCCGCACGATTAATAATTGGGTAATTTTCGGGTCAACCCGTTTTGACCCGTTTATTAAACGGGTGGGTTTCGGGTCAACCCGCCAACCCGTTAAAATACATGTGTAACCCGTTTATTAAACGGGTCGTGTCACGGGTCGTGTCAACCCGTGTAAGACACGCCAACCCGCGAAAAAATATAGGGAAATAGAGACTTCAAAACACACATATGGAGTTTCGAACCTCCTCCATCCTCATTACTCTCCAACACCTTATCCACCATGCTAGATACAACTTTGTGATTGTATACTATGCCTTTTGATATTTATAATGTTTCTTTTTCTTCTTTTGTTTTTCTTTTTTTTCCGTCTATCTTCTCCTCTCTCTTTTTTAATTTCTTTTCCTTCTCTCTTTTCTCCTCTCTTTTTTTACTTCTCTTTAGTTTTCTCTCCTCTCTTATTTTTTTTCTTTCTTTTCCTTCTCTTTAGTTTTCTCTCCTCTCTTTTTTATTTTTATTTCTTTCCTTCTCTCTTCTCTCTCTCTCTCTCTCTCAATTTTTTTTTGTTTTCCTTCTCTTTTCTCTCCTCTCTCTATTTTTTTTTGTTTTCATTCTCTCTTCTCTCCTATCTCTATCCTTTTTTTTCTTTCTTTTCCTTATATTTTCTCTCCTCTCTCTGTTTTTTTTATTTAAATTTTTTCAGTTGTGACTTTTGTAACATGCATGTTATTATTTATCAACCCGTTACACGACTCGAAACCCGCACGATAAAAGACGACCCGAACCCGACACGACACGTTTATTAAATGGGTTGGGTTCGGGTTGAGCATTCTTGACACGTTTAATATCCCGACACGACACGAACCCGACACGACACGACCCATTGCCAGCCCTATTCATAATGCAATCAAAAAACCTACTAGCCACAAAGGGCCAGTAAAAAAAAAGAATTTGATTGAATGATCGATTTTCATAATAAAAAAAGATAATAATGAAATATGAAATATTTATCGTCATGTTTAATCTAATCAAACATTTTAATAGATGTAAATGTAAAATATAAATGAAATGGTTGAGAATTTTTTTATTATTCTATAATGTATAAAATATAATATCATCAAATGACTTAAAATAATGTTCATAACTTTCTCAATTACAAGCAAAATAAGCTTAAAATTAACCTTGCCTTTTATTTAGAGTGCTGCTTAATGAACCTTAAAATTAACTGAGTACACCTTATGATCTAAGTAGACTATAATATTTTAATTAAAATGCAAAATTAACTACGTACACCATATTTAACTACCAAAAATATACCCCTATTACACCCCTAATACACCATCACACACACCCTTTTAAACAAGTACTAACCATATTAGATTAATCTAACGAATTCTAATAAGCCCACGTCACCATAATTGTATTAACCAAAAACTCTTCACCATTTGCACCTTCTTAGCCAATATTTATGAAATAAAAATAAAAAAATAAAATGTTCCAGCAATAATTACCTCCTTCTCGACCTAGCCTCCTCACTGCCAGCCATGACTGCCGCCCGCTCACTCTCTCCACTATCAGCCATGGCCTCCGCCCCTCACTCTCTTTTCTTCTCTCACACAAACCCTTCCTTATTAAGTCCTACAATTGATAACCAATTACAGTACTTGTGGCAAATTATTAGTGATTAGAATTTGATAAAATTATTCTCTATCACAGAATTAGTAAGCTTTATTTCATAGAAATCAGAATTGGATTATCACTAAAGGGTGGTTTTGGAGTTAAGAGAGATTCCTAATGATGTAGGACTTCAATTCATAGGCCTTGTTGAGAGTCCATCATCCAAGAGAGAGAGAGAGAAGAGAGAGAGGAGAGAGAGAGAGAGAGAGCGAGAGAGAGGAGAGAGGAGAGAGAGAGAGATCCACATGACTGGCTGGCAGTGGGTGAAGGAGGTCGGGTCAGGATGGTGTTTATGTTTGATGAGACATTTTTTATTTATTTATTTATTTATATTTCAAAAGTATTGGATAAAATGCAAATTGTGAGTTTTATGTTAGTACAATTATGCTCATGTGGACTTATTAGAATTTATTAGATTAATTTAATGGTTAGTATTTGTTTAACTGCGTATAAATGCACTGATGCTAAATGCAGAGGCTCAAGATCCATAACACAATTCAGTATATCCTTTTTGGTCATTTTATATTAGGGTAAATTAGTGTCACACCCCGAACCAGAGAGTCAGTGGAAACCCGGCGTTCGGTGCGTGAGAAAGTGAAATAAGATAAAAAGAAGCCGAAACAAGGTTTAAAATAAACTTCTCTTATAAAAATAGCTCCAAAATCTTACAACTTTACAATTAATAAATAAAGCTCTGATACTCTCTAATTCAGCTTCAATTGGTTTAGTCATTGTCTTACTCACTAATTCATCTGAAAAATTAAACAGGGTGAGAGATGAGTAACCATCGCTCAATGAGTAGATTATGTAATATGCCAGTCAAGCAACATCGTTTTACACACTCTAGAAAATATCATGAAAAGGTACACCAATCCAAATCATATCACATCATCCCTTCATATCTCGGTTATTCTTCGTAGCATATAACCAACCACGTGACCCATATTGGCCTCACTGCCGTATGTCCCCGTGTGGTACATCTATCCCTCGAATACCCCAACACTGAAGTTCTCATGTTCCATGAATAATACATACTTTACAAATATTACAATCAATATATATATATATAGTGTGAAAGGTTGCACCAAATTAGACATGCTTGACTTGAAATAGAGAGATATTTGTAAATATAACAAATCCACGATAATTCATGATTTTCATACTTTATCACAAAATAAGAACTCTTAGAACACATTACATAAGCTACTCACCACCATAATGAGAACCCTTAAAATAAATTGTCAAGACAACCCATCTACCTATCTCCATCAAAAGAAATGGTTCCTATTTATAGTACTACATGGGCGGCAACTACTTTCTTTCAATTGGTCCAATGTATGGCAATTGATAAGGTTTGGCTCCAAGTTTAGATAGCTGTTACTGGAGTACCAACACCTCATGCTCAAATAAAGCTTAGTCATCTAGGTATAATGACACTTAGAGTCTAAAGTTTGTTTTAGATAACAACTAGGCTATTGAAATTGGTCAGAAAGTAACAAAGAGATAAAACTGTCTAAAACAAAACATATAAATATTACTATTTTTAATAACTAATAAGAAAATTTTCTGAAAATATAACACGTACCAAGATAATTATGTATATATAAGTTATAAACTAAATATGTAACAAAATATTTAATTTCCCGAAATATAATATATATTAAAAATACAGGGTTTCATAGTCTACCCTTCTTAAAAGAAATTTCGTCCTCAAAATTTATTAACGCTTAATTAATAAAATCTACTCCTAAAGATCTTTGTCATTAACTTCTTTAAATTCAAACCTATATGCTCACACTAATCTTCTACCACAGTTCCCAAGGTTGTCTAGTCCCTACGCTCTGATACCATTCACGCTCTGG